GCGGATGGTTAATGCTGTACCGAGGGGGTTCTCCCGTTCCCATGGTTTGTGGCATCATATTTTATATTTGTATATTGTAAATATGTATGCATCATGTGTGAGTGATCTTATGTGACTACTTTGATTGTAGGATATCCTGTTGTGGAATTTTTTAGTCTCGGCGAGCCTACAAGCATTTGTCAATACTGTGCAGCAATTATGTGGGTGCAAGAAAGTACGGTTCCTACTAGGAGTCGTGTTAATCCCACTTTCTCATTGTGTTGTAAGGCTGGAAAGGTAAAACTACCCCCTAGACGTGCTCCACTAGAGTTTTTGAATGAATTGTTACATTCTTCTACACCTATGAGCCGTCATTTCCGGGAAGCCATTCGTAGATACAATGCTGTGTTTTGCTTTATCTCCCTGGGCGGGAAAGTGGATCGTGGTATAAATGATGGTCGAGGGGTGTATGTGTACTCTATAGGAGGACAAATTTATCACTCTATAGGCAGCTTATTACCTGCAGACGGTCAGCCACCGAGGTTTGCCCAATTATACATTCATGACTCAAGTTCTGAACTACAGAGTCGTATGCATCTATTTCCAGTTGATGATGCCTCCAGTTCATTGCGACCAGATATTGTTGAACGCTTGCAAGAAATGTTTGATAGGAATAATGTTCTGGTTCAAACCTTTCGGATGGCTAGGCAAAAGATACAGGAAGGCAATGTGAAAGAGGTGAAGATCAAATTAATTGCCAAGCGTGCTCATGATGGGAGAGAATATGATTTACCGACGGGGAATGACATAGCAGCCTTGATTGTTGATGAAACAGGGCAAGATACATTTGAGCCAGATATTATTGTTCAGTATAAGAGTTCTGAATTCGAGAGAATTAATTATTATCATCCATCATTAATGGCTTTACAATACCCAATTTTATTTCCTTATGGAGAGGATGGATGGCATCCGGACATAAGCTGTGATGATGATGATGATGATAATCTTTGGAATGACAAGACACTGTCCCAGTGTGATTATTATGCATACCGCCTACAGAGTAGATTTCAGGAGTCAAATTCGGTTTTATTATCTGGGAAATTATTCCAGCAGTATGTTGTGAATGCGTATGCATTAGTAGAGGCACAACGGCTTGATTGGATCCGAAATAACCAAACAAAACTTCGTTCCCATTATCTGAGTGGGTTAGTGGATGCATTCCTCCGTGGTGATTCTGATTTAGAAATGACTGGAAAACATGTTATTTTGGCTGCTTCCCACACAGGAAGTCCACGGTACAAGTATGAAAACTTCCAGGATGCTATGGCTATTTGTAGGTGGTTGGGCTACCCAGATTTATTTATTACCTTCACCTGTAATGCAAATTGGCCGGAAATCCAGTTTATGGTTGATTTGGTAACCGCAGATGGTCGGAAAGATGTCAATAGATCTGATATTATTGCTCGGGTCTTCAAGCTTAAACCGCAGCAATTAATGTTTGAGATAAGAGATAAGAAAATATTTGGGACTACCACTGGATGTAAGTCGTACATGCTCCATAAGTGTTATTTTAGTTTTGAGCAATACTTTTGTTTCATATGTTTGAATTATTTTATGCAGGTTGTCCTTTACATAATAAGGTTTTGACAGGCTCCAACTTAATACATATTGTATTTGTTTGCAGTTGTGCTGGCAATTGAGTTTCAAAAGCGTGGCCTTCCCCATGCTCATTTGCTGGTCTTCCTAGCTTCGGAATGTAAACTAACTAGGCCGACGGCCATTGATTCCGTCATATCCGCAGAAATTCCAAACTCTGATATTGATCCAGAAGGCTATAGGGTTGTAGCTGCTTTTATGCTGCATGGTCCATGTGGTCTTTTGGGCCGTAATGCTCCTTGCACAGAAGGTGGTGTGTGTACTAAACATTTTCCAAAGCCGTTTTGTGAGCAAACGACGATTAATGATAATGGGTTTGCCAAATATCGACGACGTGACAGTGGAATATCTTTTAAAGTTAACTCTGTGTCATTGGACAATCGTTTTGTCGTGCCGTACAATCGCTATTTATTATTGCGATTTGATGCACATATAAATGTTGCAATAAATCCAGGTATGTTTTTCATATCACATATAATATTTATGCTCGACACTACTTTTTTATTCCCTTCCATGGAAAGTGCCAAATTTGGTAGCTTTTTGTGTGTTTTTTTTATTTGTTTAAACGTATCAGTTTGGTTGTTGCATGACTACTCATTAGTTTTGTTGTGTCCAATTTTTGTTTGACATGGTAGGGCAATCAAATATTTGTTCAAGTATATCAACAAACCACAAGATCGAGCAAAAGCTTCATTAGTTGACAATGAAACTAATACTGGAATTGAATCTGGTGCATCAAGTTCAAATCCCACACCACGGGTTGATGAGATAAAAGCATATCTTGATTGTCGGTATATCACATCTGGTGAAGCATGCTGGAGGTTGTTCAAGTTTGATGTCTACTCACAGTACCCATCAGTGTTGCGCATGTCTTATCATCTTCCTGGGCAGAATGTAGTTGTCTCAAGGCAGCATTCAAATCCTCAAGGTGTGCTCCAGTCTAAGCGTGCTCAAACCTCTATGCTGTTGGAATGGATGAAAATGAATAAGTTATTTGCAGAAGCAAGGAAATATACATTTGTAGAATTTCCGCAACATTATGTTTGGGATAAAACAAAGCAGGCGTGGCACAAGAGGAAATCCATGTTCAGTATTGGGCGGTTGTATTATTGTCATCCTTCGCCTACAAATGATAGGTTCTATCTGCGTATGCTTCTACATATTGTTCGTGGTGCTCAAAGTTTTGAGGACATCAGGACAGTGAATGGAGTTTTGCATAAATCTTTTAAGGAAGCATGTTATGCGCATGGTCTGTTGGCAGAAGATAATGAATGGAATGACTGTTTGTCCGAAGCGGCTCTTTGGGCATCCGGTAAAAAGCTTAGAACTTTATTTGTTACTATCATCAGCCTCTGTCAAGTTTCAGACATTGGGAAACTATGGGAGCGGAATTGGGCACTGTTATCTGATGATATTTTGTATGCCCGTCGGAAGGAACTAAATATGCCTACTTTAGAAATGTCTGATCTTCAGTTACAGGAATGTTGTTTGCTGGAGATAGATAAATTGCTTGCAAGAAATTGCAAAACTCTATCTGATTTTCCTGGATTACCAGTTATTGATACTGGTAACATGTCATCTTCATCTAATCGATTGATCACTGCAGAACTTAATTACAATGTTGCAAGTCTTCGTGAGCAATTTGAAGGTATGATTTCCAAGCTCAATGCCCAACAAAAAAAAGCTTTTGATGAAATTACTGAATCGGTGTATGCAGATAAGGGAAATGCATTCTTTATTGATGGATGTGGTGGGACAGGAAAGACCTTCTTATGGAAAGTCATTTGCTTGAAATTGCGATCGGAAAATAAGATTGTTCTATGTGTAGCTTCTTCTGGGATTGCAGCCCTTTTAATGGATGGGGGTCGAACGGCTCATTCTCGATTTCACATTCCAGTAGACCTTGATGGTAGATCGACATGTCATATTGACCAGGGTAGTGAATTAGCAGAGCTCATTCAGCGTGCTTCATTGATTATTTGGGATGAAGTTGTTATGTCACACAAGCATGCAGTGGAAGCTGTAGATAAATCATTGCGGGATATTTTGCGGTTTCGGTATGAAAACAGTCAGGGCAAGCCATTTGGAGGTCTTACAGTTGTTTTTGGAGGAGATTTCCGGCAAACTTTGCCTATAGTATTGAAAGCTTCACGAGGTGATATTGTGAACTCATCTATAAAGAGGTCTTACCTGTGGCCCCATTTGAGGGTAATTAAGTTAGTTGAAAATATGCGGCTAGCACGATCTAATTGCTCTCCGGAGGAAACTGTTGAGATAACTACTTTCCAGAACTGGCTCTTGCAAGTAGGAGACGGAGTAGATTCAGATGTGTTTGGTGAGTCTTTGATTCGCATACCTCAGGAATTAGTAATTCCTCGACAGAGTGATCCTGTCATTGATATTGTCGCCTCTATATACAGTGATCTTAGTAGTCATGCAGGAGATCATAATTATTTAGTCAATCGAGCTATCTTGGCTCCACACCATGATATGGTTTCTGCAGTGAATGAGTATATTCTAAGTCAATTCCCAGGAGATGTAGTGGCATATTACAGCGCAGATTCTATTGAGATGGACCCTGGGAAGGAGGGAGTTGTGGATGCTGATTATTCAACCGAGTTTTTGAACAACCTCCGGATTGGAAACTTTCCAGACCATCAGTTGGAACTAAAAGTTGGGTGTCCAGTCATTCTATTACGGAATATGGATCAAACTGTTGGCCTTTGTAATGGTACTAGAATGGTTGTGAAGACTTTGGGTAAATGGTTCATTGAGGTGGAGATTTTGACAGGTACCAACATCGGTGATCGCGTCTTCCTTCCCAGATTGACATTATCAACCCATTACAAGAGTCTTAATTTCACCCTCATTAGAAGGCAATACCCTGTGGCTCTTTGTTTTGCCATGACTATTAACAAAAGTCAGGGTCAAACACTAGCCAATGTTGGTTTATGTCTTCAAAGACAAGTTTTTAGTCATGGTCAGCTATATGTTGCATTGTCAAGAGTTACTACAAGGCAAGGATTGAAGATTTTGAGTGGCAATGAGAATGGAGAGGAAGGCACTTCAATGGTGAACATAGTATTCCCAGAAATATTTGATTGATTTATATGAACTTCAATTCAGGTTTAACTTATGATTCCAACGTTTGTCAAATGCGCCGCTTATGGTTAGTTTACCCGCCCAACGGGCCGGGCCCTGCGCTAGTTAAATGTATAAGTTCAAGTTGTACCATAAAGAATATGTACAAAACAGTGTAGGTATAATCTAAAACTGTACCATAACAATAAATGTACAATTTCAAGTTGCACCACAAAAATAAAAACTTATAGCACCAATACTATATAGTATTGTAAATTTTCTCAATTAAATTACACTGATATTTTAGTTGAGTCCTCTGTTCTCGTTTAGCAGCAAAGCTTGCGGACCAAATATATTAGCTTGTAGGCAGTGGGCTCAGCCTATGTCCCTATTTTAATTTAAGCCCAGCACACTGTTACTTAGCAATTTAGCCCGGAAACTTCTTTTGGCCCACGGAAAGGTAAAAAGAACGAAGAAGATGATTTACAGTCACGGATGTATTCGTCTTCTTCGTTCCCTCTTTCCTTTTCCTCTCTTAAGTTCAGTCTATAGAAGCCCTGGATTTGGCATTGTAATCGTCAGTACCTAATATCAACGCTGCAGAGTGCAGAATATTTGCTCCACGAACTTTTCCATTTTGTATGTGTTTAGCTGTTAGCAATTGTCATCAAAGTGAAGAATTCATAACTGCTCGTATACTATCTACTCCCAGATGTGACTTAATTGGATCCAACGACCGATGGCACGTTGGAAATGATAGTTCATTGTCTCTAGCTTGGTCTTTCCTTGGTCTGTTGGTGATGCCCTCGCTCAGTTCCCAGTCTCCTTACTGGCAACAAGCATCGGCAGTCGAAGGTCTTATAGCGAGGATGGCGCACTCGTAAAGCCGTTGACAATGCACTCCTTTGAATAAGTATAACAAAGTGTTCGGCATACAAAACGAATGACATGACCAAGACAAATCTGTTATGAACCTTTTGCATGACAATACTGTTGCAGCCTGTACATACCAGAGAAGAACACTTTCTGCATACTTCCGGAAGAAGAATTCTTGTCGTGCCTTTCAGCTCACTTAGAATCATCGAAACATTATAGAACCCCATGGCAGAAGAGGCTTTCTACTGTAAGTAGAACCAGCAGCCAAGGGAGCTTATTTGCCTCTTCAGAATTGAAGAGGCTGAGCTTTGGTAAACACGAAAACTCCACCTCCCCCGACAGATCTCCCCAAGAGCATATTCTTATCCAGGTATGAAAGGTAATACAGCCCTCCTGCAGATCGCCTGAAAATTCAACACAGTTGTTGACTACATGCTTTCAAGTGAACTACATCTTTTCTTATCTGTTTATTTTTTGTAATAAGAAGCAGAACGCATCACAGATATACCTCCCTGGATTGGGGCTTGTTACAGGAATCTGAGCTTTAAATTGCCGGATGAACTGCAAGATCTGCATACATTATTTGCTCACTAATTCATTTATTATTATCAGTGTTACAAACATCATATTTACACTCCATACTCGGAATTCTGTTAATCCATTCATTACCTGTAAACTTAGAAATGTACGTGGCAGGATTGCTGGAGCTAATGCAGCTTGGAGTTGTTCGCTTATATTAATGTTCTGTATGCTTATCTGCCCATGCAGAACATGGAGACCCAAGATTAGACTAATCAAACTGCCTAAGTTTAGGAGAAACACGAAACTTGGGACGAATGGAACATTTCAGTCAAAATTTATATTTCTGCGAGGAAACTAATGAGCTTGGGGAAGAAACTGACCTCTTCAAACTGAAGATAGACATTGCGTGCAGAAACAACATCGAATTTGGCTGTAACAAGAAGAGTGGCTCCCTCTTGTTCCTGTGAATTCACAGCAGCAATCGGTTCAAGAAACAGTTGGTTAACAGAATAGCATCATGAGATTGTGGAGCAAAAGCTCAACTCGAAGGTGATGCACATTCAAAGAGATTACACATTACTACCTCTAACAATGAAGGAACACTCCACTGAACAACATTGCGGATGACACCACCATCAGACCGATCCCGACACTCAAATTTCTGGTATATCTGCCCAACCTATCTTCCCCAAATTCACCATATCCATTCGTCAGGTCCTCTTAAACTGAAAGCTATAGGGTATATTGTGAAGCAGAGTTGAAGACTAAATGTTGATTCAACAACTGGCCAGTGCCACCGCAAATACTGATATACCTGAAAGAAAGGAAGCCTAGCAGCAGCCTCGAATAGCACGACGACATCGGAGGCAGAAGTATACTGCAGGCGCCAAGTTCCATCTAGCTGCACCAGGTCAATTGGGGCACCATTGTTGCGTCCTTCCAATTGAACCTACCAGAGTTGTTTAAGCAACAGTTCATTAAAACAACCATTTCTCGGTCTCAAGTTTACCTCAAAATCAAATATCTCTTGCCTGAAACAACATACAAGAAGTTCCTCAATCACGGAACGTTGATCAGCAGTGGTAACAAGCCCTCGTTGGGTCTCTTGGACGGCTCTCAGCAAATCATGCTTCTTTTCCTCAAGCTGAAACTCGGGTACCTGGAAATCAAGGAAACTCCAGTCAAATTCATAACAAGAACACAAAAAAATATCAAACATCAGCAAAAAGGAAATAACCGAAGCCAAACCCGAGCAACGCCGGCCGCTACAGCCGCCAAACAAGAGAACTTCTTCTTCTTCTTCCTGGGTAGATGCTGTTTGGAATTGGGATGAAGGTTCGAGCAGCTAGGGTTAACCCATGTCCTCCCAGTTCCACAGCACAACGAAGCGCTAATCGCCAAGCTCATCTCTTATAATCGAGGGATTGTCACAGTTCTGAACTCATGAAAATGGTTCGAAGCACACGAAAAAATTTCTCGGTGGTGAAATCGCGGATCTGATTTCGAATTACAAAATTTGTGAGGGATAACAAGAATTGAAGGCAAAGAACAGAAAACTCCGGTGACTTAGCAAGGAAGTGAGAGAGTTGGCAACAGAATCTAGCAGCTACGAAATGTAACCTCTACTCTGGCGACTGCCGCCATTGTTAGACCTCGAAAATTCTCCCTCTTTGATACTTCCCCAAACTGCTCTTACGTGTAGGGCTGGAGATCGGTTCGGGTCCTAGTACCCGGACCCAAATACGCGGGTACCCGGACCCAAAAAATGTCAGTTTGAGGAACCAGACCCGACCCAGACTCGGTTCTTGGGTACCCGAGACCCAAAGTCACGGTTCTCGGGTATGGTTCGGTCACCCGAATACCCATAAGCCACCGAAGACAACCTGTTACAGCAGCTCTCTTCCTCCCACCTGCTCGTTCCATGCTTGCTGAAGGATGACAGAAGGTTGGTCGGCGATTTGTTGATTGTTGATGGATGATAGTCGGCGATTTGGTGAAGGATGATTGTAGGAAGGTTTTTGTCTGCGTCTCTGCGAGAGGGAAGTGGGGAGTGGCCGCTGGGAATGGGAAGGTCGAAGGGGAAGATGAAGCTTAGGGTTAGGGCGTTAGGCTGATGAAGGCTGATGAAGGTTGGGCTGTCGGGGTCGGGCTGAGGAGTGAGGGGGGGCGAGGGCCTTAAGGCTGGACTGGGCCGCTGGGCCATATAATATTTGGCATGTGGGCTGGGGTTCGGTTCCACTTCGGGTCCTTCTATTTTCGGGTCCGGGTTCGGTTTACCCAAAACCTGAAAAATAGCCTGATGCGATACCGAGACCCATTTTTCACAATGATATTTCGGTTCTCGGGTACCCAAAACCCGGAATTTTTGGTCCGATTCCGGGTTACCCATAAACCCGAACCCGAACATCCAGCCCTACTTACGTGGACATAACCAAAGCGGCAAAGCTAGTGGTGACAAGTGACAACGAGATGAGGTATTAAGATGGTAATGTAATGGCGCTGGTCCGGCGAATTTTTCTAATAATCCCTTTCTTATTTACAAATATTTAAATTTTTTCGGGTTTTAAGGGTTCGGAGAATATGAGTTTAAATCTATAGTTTGTCAACAATTTAAAAATTATAACTCTTCGAATTGTTGAAAACAGATTTTAAAATGTTTGTTGTTTTGTAACCATGATTGTTAACCTTCAATGAAAATATAAAAAAACTAATTTTATATTAAAATAGATTGTTTATTCTTAACAAAAAATAAGAGTGGTTCGAGAAATATTGAGAACTTTGTTGATACATATATTTAATGTGATAAATAAATAAAAGAAAGAGATAAAGTAGGAGAAATAAAATCTCACGAATAAATATATAAAATCTCTCTAATTATAAGATATTTGATATTCGTAGAATCTCTTCTCATCATTTCTTTTTGTTTGAATAATGAACTTTGTAGGATGATTAGTAGTATGTGTGTGTTTTTTATTTATTTTAAGTACTTAGGGCCCGTTTAGTATTGTTGCTTGTTTTTGTTTTCTGTTGTGTTTTATAAAATTACAGAAACCGAGGAGAAAAAACATGTTTAGTTAGGATTTTAATTTTTGTTGTGAAACAGAGTTACACAACCAGGCCCAAATCAAAGAAACAATAAATTATTGCTTTGGATCTGATTCGTACACATGTTTAACACGGGATTTCTACGGGTTGTGTCTTTGATTTCATTAAACTAACCCCCAGTTCGAGTCCCCTCACATACGGAAATTCTGTTTATTTTTTTCAACCCCTCCACAAGGCCCCAACCCTACTCGCCATTCACTTGTTGTTTAATTTCACTTTGTGTTGATGTGATTAATCTTCTTTTTCAAATTTGAGAGCTCCAAGTTGGCCCCTTTTGTATTCTTCCTACTCAATGTGTTTTGAATTGTTAGACGGTTGCAATGTTGTGCATGATAGGGAGAATATTGTAGCATTATGGAGGATGTTGGAAGTGAGAAATTTGGCCTAAGATTTCCTCCTTGAGTGTATTGATATTGTTCACTATCTAGGTTAGGACATGTGTGCGAAATTCTCTACTTACTTTTGGACTCAAAATATTTGCAAACATGTGCTCAATTTAAAAAAAATCTTTGGAAAAAGATTTTTTCATGTGAGAGGCAACCGAGCATAGTGTTTGAGTTAAGTCGTCAAAGGGCTTTTCTCTTGGCTCAGAGTGCCATTTGAGTATGTGTTTGGGGATCAAATAGCTTTACCACGTCTCGATCATCTTTCACTACTCACCATCCCCCAAACACCTCTCTTCCTCACGGAATCATATAACAAGGTACAAATTACCTTTTAGCGATTCAAGAGACCTCGGCTCTCGTTTGTACCCAACATGTGTGGCAACCATGGTCCATGAAACCGTACCGGAGACCGTACCGAAAAAGTCGGCGGTAGGGTATTTTATGGTAAAACCGTGGTTTAACCGTAGTTCATTATTCAAACATGGTCCAATGTGGAGTGCAGGCTGGGAAGTGGTGCTCGGGCTAAGACGAATCTACCCATCAACTTCCCCACATGTGACCTAGATAGGGAAGACAATGATCCATCCGCTCTTGGTTATGAGGGAGAGATGCCAATTTGCAAAAAGTTTGGTGCAATGCGCGTCAATGTTGAAAAAGGAGACCTATAAATGACAACTCCTACTTTGAAAGAAAGAATAAATAGCACCTTTTAGAGTCCATGGTTTTAATTGTTTTTGAGAAATCCCTTGGCGCACACCTTTGATGTCTAGACCTCTTTAGTGTCAAGGTTCTCATTCAAGAGTATGTTAGCACATAGAGATCGGCGGTAGAATTTCTTGTGACCGGTTGACCTCGAAAGTTGCTAATTGACCCTCTACCGACTATCTATTATGCATGTCATTGTGATTTATCTTTCAAGTTGTACAAGTTTGAGTTAGGTTTGCCTGGGGACAAGCAAACACTTAAGTATGGGGGAGTTTGATAACACCTAAAATAGGCATTATTTAGCCCTTATTCTTAAGGCATTTGTATGTTAAATCACCGTGTCTAAGCCACATATCAAGTTATTTATGCATATTTTCGTTCCTATTTGCATAACATGTATTTTTGCATATGTATTCTTGATATGAAGGTTTTCATAGAGGAACCGACCCCACTTTGACAAATTTTATGCTTTTCTACTGTTTGTGATGAAAATCCAGGTCTTATATGCTCTGTTTTCAGAACTGGACCGGAGGCTGAACCGGAAAAGTTAGTGGTTTAAGGGTTCACTGGTTAACCGTTACAAAATCATTGGTGAACCGTTGGTAGAACCGTTAATGATATATAACATATAAGGCTTGTATATTACACTAATCTAAGAATGAAATTATCATTGACCATAAACAAGTTCAAATTCATATCATCACGAAAATATCTAATAAATCATTCCAACCATCTCACAAAAGAAACCATATTTTTTAATTCAAATTAAAAATTACGGTTCTAGTTGGTAGTAGGCAATGTAAAATCGACAATAAGGTTGAGGAAGCATATATAAAATAAATAATTATGATTTGATGGTCTTAGTTTATGTTAAAATATTTTTTTTCGTTAAAATAGTGAACCAATGGACCAGTTAAACCGTGTCAGTTCATATGATTTTATGTTGAACCGTGAAAAACCATTTGGTCCATCAATAACCGTTCAAACAATGAACCGAACCGCTACCGTAACTGGTTTGACGGTTCTACTGGCCCGGCCGTTGATCCGGTTCGGTTCTTATAACAAGGCTTATATGCAATGCAGTCAAAAGCGCGATTCTACCTAAAAGCGGAAAAGGGGTAAAATCGAAAAGCGGTGAATCAAAGCATAAAAGCGTAAATTTTTTATGCAACATGTATAATAGTTATAAATATGTTAAGTACGGCATAAACTATGTAAAATATGAGTGCATGGAGTTTAGATAAAAGAATAAATACATGCAATTCATGTCTAAATTAGAACAAACTCATAACATCTTAACAATAATTTCATAAACATAAATCGTAACCCACAAACGAGTTGAGAATCCAAATTCTCACAAGCTTGTTTAAGTTTACATAATGACAGTATTACTTGCACGTACCCCACTCGACATACTTGAAATTGCAAATCCTGCATAGAATAAAGAATAAGGGCTGTAAATCTCAACTTGCTCAAACCATCTCAACATGCTGTATATCACAAAATCTTTACATCTGATTTCCAAAACACATACACTGTTCACAGTATATATTATTTCATAAAAATTAAAACAACTTCGGTAACCAGGCCCGGCCCAGGCCCTGTGCTGGTCTGACCCACAGCACAGGGCCTCACAATATTTGGGGCCTCATAACTTGGCCCATATACTATACATATAAAAAAAAAAAAAATTAATTCAATCAACAGAGGCAGCGGCAGCCGAAGAGTTTGGCGTGCAAACTCCAGCGGCAGCAGCCGCCTCCTTATTCGCCCATCTTCCTCAATTCTCGTAACCTCCCTTCCCAAAATTTTCAATCATTAATGGTTTCTCCAATATTCTCATCTTCCCAAAAATCCACCAACGTCTCTAATCCACCAACGTTTCTCTTCTCAAAGTCTCTACTCTCTGTTCTCCAAATCACCCTTAAATACTCAGCCAAGAAGGTGAAGCATCCACCCCCAGCCTTCTATTTTCATTCATTCGATTGATAAAATCAATCCCAGTTCGCCTCAATCCCTGTTCGCCTCAATCCCAGTTCGCCTCCGGTGGTTCCACTCCGGCGCTCCCGCTCGCCTTCTTCCCCTGGTTCCGAGAATCCCAATTCCGACTTGGTTCCGTCTCTCCGTGGTTTGGAAATCGGTAAGAATTTCCTGTCCCTGGCTGTCTCGGAGAACGGTAGAATGGGAATGGCTAATTGAGTTTGGAAATTGGATGGCTAATTGAGTTTGAAAATTGGAATTGGAGATGGGAGAGGAGACTCTGTTCTCCTGCTACTCTGCTTCTCCTTCTGCTTTTGCCCGAAGGAATTTTTTTTTTTTTTATTTACAACAGGCCGAAGTGATTGGAAGAAGAAATGGCCAATGGGCCAAGCTTGAATGAATGGGCCATTATTATTACTTGTTTGTTGTTGGCCGAGAGTCTAATGGCCAATGGGCCATTATTATTACTTGTTTGTTGTAATGTTGTTGGCCGAGAGTCTCATTCAGCCATTCTAACATTTATTTATTTTATTTTTTTTGCAGGGATTTGTCTTGATTGCCTATTGGGATTATGTCATCTAGAAAATTTGAATCAGGTTGTTCTAAGCGTAAAAAAAAACAGAGGATTGACTTGTTAACTCAATCTCAAAAAGGAGCTCTTCATAAATTTTTGGTGAAAGAAAACGATTCTGATGCTAATATTGCTCCTATTGTTGTTGATGCTAATGATGTTTTAGGTGATAATGCTCATATTGATCATGTTGTTGATGCTAATGATGTTGTGGATGCTAATGCTAATGTTCCTCCTATTGTTGTTGAAAATTCTGATGCAAGTGTTGATTGTATTCCTAATTTTGATGTGGTTGATCAAACTAGTTTTGATGATGATTTTGAAAAATTTGATATTTTTGATCCTAGAACATGGGATTCTCTTCATTCTAAAATGATTGATATTTTGGTTGAGAAGGGTCCCAAAAGAGATTTATCTATTGAAAAGGGTCCTAAAGATAAGTTTTCAAAAAGATTTTGTGCAAGTTGGTTTACTAAAGTTATGCCGAATGGTGAAAAGCGTGATAGGGATTGGCTTGTTTATTCGAAAGAGCTTGATAGAATATTTTGTTTTTGTTGTAAACTTTTTAAAAAAAAAGGTGTAAGGGGTCAATTGGCAAATGAAGGTTTTAATGATTGGTCACATATTATAGGTAGGATGAAAGAGCATGAAACTAGTCTAGAACATATTAAAAATATGGCTACTTGGTATGATTTGCGTTTGGGACTTCAAAAGAACCAAACAATAGACAAAGTAGCCCAAAAAGAATTTGAGAAAGAAAAGTGTCATTGGAGAAATGTCTTATTGAGAATTATTTCAATGGTTAAGTTTCTTGCTAAACGTAATATTGCATTTCGTGGTAGTAATGAAAAATTATACCAAAATAGCAATGGTAATTTTTTAGGTTTGGTTGAGATGTTGGATGAGTTTGATCCTGTTATTCAAGAGCATGTTCGTCGCATTACAAATGATGAGATTCATCATCATTATCTTGGTCATAGAATTCAAAATGAAATTATACTTTTGCTTGCTAATGAAATTAAATCTAAAATTATTGGAAAGATAAAGCAAGCAAAGTATTTTTCTGTTATTCTTGATTGTACTCCCGATATAAGTCATCAAGAACAAATGTCAATGATACTAAGGTATGTGGATTTCTCTTCAAATTCTATTTCAATTGAGGAGTCTTTTTTGGGGTTTTTGGAAGTGGATGATACTACAGGTTTAGGATTATTTGATGTTCTTAAAAATGAGTTGAATTCTCTTGATCTTGACATTGATAACATTAGAGGTCAATCCTATGACAATGGATCAAATATGAAAGGAGAACATAGTGGTGTTCAAAGAAGGTTATTAGATGTAAATCCTAGAGCTTTTCATACATCATGTGCTTCTCATAGCCTTAATTTGACATTATGTGATATGGCCAATTCTTGTCGTAAAGCTAGAGACTTTTTTGGAATTATTCAACGTATTTATACGATATTTTCAAATTCCAATAAGAGATGGCTTATTTTAAAACATAATGTTAATTTGACTTTGAAACCGTTATCATCTACTCGTTGGGAGAGTCGTGTTGAAAGTGTAAAAGCAATTAGGTTTCAAATGCCAGAAGTGAGAGAAGCCTTACTTCAAGTAGCTGATGTTGATCGCGATTCAAAAATTAGCAGTGAAGCTGAATCTTTAGCACGAAATGAACTTGGTGATTTTGAGTTTATTCTTTCATTAGTTATTTGGTATGAAATATTGTTTTCAACAAATTTGGTTAGTAAACAATTACAATCCAAAGATATACTTATTGATGATGCTATTTTAAAAATAGATGGATTGATTTCTTTTTTCAAAAGATATAGAGAAGATGGTTTTCAAAAAGCCTTAGAGCTAGCGAAGGAAGTTTGCACGACAATGGATGTTGTTCCAAATTTTCCTCAAAAGCGCGAGATCAAAAGAAAGAGGCATTTTGACGAGGTTCCTGAAAATTCTTCAAGTAATGCATCTTTATCTAGGGAGGAATCATTTAGAGTTAATTATTTCCTTTGCGTAGTGGATCAAGCAATTTCTTCACTTACTAAAAGATTTGAGCAATATAGTAGTTTTCAATCTAATTTTGGTTTCTTATTTAGTTCTAAGAAATTGTTTTCCTTGGATGATTCAAAATTGAAGTCTTCTTGCATGCATATTCAAACCATTCTTAAGAATAATGACCAATCTGATATTGATGGTAATGATTTATATTCTGAGCTTAAGTTATTACCGGACTTTCTACCTAAGGAATGTATTCTTCCTTTTGAAATTTTAAACTTTTTGAAACGTGTCGATTGTTTTCCTAATGCAAGCATTGTATATAGAATCTTATTAACAATTCCCGTGACTGTTGCTACAGCAGAAAGAAGCTTTTCGAAGTTGAAGTTGTTGAAGTCTTATTTGCGCTCTACAATGACACAAGAGAGGCTTAACGGGTTAGCTATGTTGGCAATTGAGAATAACTTCTTGGAGGATGCAAAGATGGAAGAACTAATAGAGGATTTTATTTCAAATAATACTAGACGGTTGTTACTTTTCAAACAATGATCGATAATATTATCCCTATTGTAATAATTTTCTGAACTTATGTATTTTTTATAATTATTTTATAAATTTTATTTATAATACATTTGTGAAAAAAAAATTCTAGGGCCACATTTTTCATTTTCGAACAGGGCCCCCAAATATAATGGGCCGGCCCTGTCGGTAACTAATTCATAAGCAATGTTAGCTTGTTGAATAGAATTAGATATTAAATGAGATGGAATTGCCGAGACAAAATCTCTAGTCCAAAGGCAAAGATAGAACCAAAGGCAGGTAAACGCAAGCGAGGAGTGGATTCACAAGAATATCTGTAGGTCAAACCATAGATGAGATTTCACCGATCCACCATGGTCAAAATTATCGAAACACAATCACCACATCAGCTTCGGAAATCAAAAGGGTAGTACTCAGTACTCGCTATCCACAAGCTAGCATTGCTTATGCAAAACCAGAGAAAGCGAAACAAAAGCAAGTACAGATGACAGGCACAAAGAAGCAAGAAGCATGGCCGGATCACGGCAACGAGAGGGAAGCAGGGACAAATCACCCAAAGTGAACTTCCAGAATTGAAATTATATCACCCAAAGTGAACTTCCAGTTGCTATGAGCCTAGGACAAGGAAGAGACAACAAGTGATTACCTGGTGTGGCGCCAACGAGTGGCAGCGGGCGACGAAACGAGTGCGACGGGCAACGGGGCGCTGGAGCTGGCGAGTGCGACAGGTGCTGGAGCTTCGGTGGAAGGCGACGACGGCGGTGAGTTGTTTCTTCGAGAAGGGTGGGTTCTAGTCTGGTGGAGAGTGGAGACGGAGAGAATTAGGGATTGCGGGGGAATGGATTGGAAGCCACAACCCGATAGACACCCCTTCCCCTCCTTTTTTTTTAAATACATAAAACGGCGACGTTTTGACTAAGTGGCGAAAGTTTTCTCATTTGCTTGGAATCGTAAAAAACGGTTTGAAAATGCGTTTTTATCAGTTTTCATCGATTTTAACTATTCTACTTACGCTTTTGACCGATTTTGGAGTGGAAAACGATTTTATTAGTGATTTGAAACGTTTTCCTAGCCTAGAAACGTAAAATCGTACGTTTTACGCTTTAAAGCGCGATTTTGACTACACTGCTTATATGTATTTGAGATTGATCGAGAATTGATTGGAGTTCATCCGAACACGATTGGGAAGCATAGGAGCAAAAAGGGGAAAAAAGGCACAGGTCATGGCCACACATCATGACCGTGACCACTAAGCCATGACCATGTTTGCGGCCTAAAGATCACAGCCGTGAACAGTGGCTGCGAATCTCAATACGCGACCAAGAAGAAGGCATAAAGTTTCGACACCCGAATCGCGGTCATGGTGCATTTTGACCACAAAAAGATCACGCTCGTGACACAAAGATCATGGTCGCGATCTTCTGAAGGAGACCGCGATCTTGGAGATTAAAGACGGTGTCAAAACGCGACGTTTCGGGCGAGTTGGCGGCAACCTATAAATATCCCTTCTCTGCACTTGACAAAGTGGGAGCCGAACTAGAGTGAGAAAGTTAGCGTTTTGGTGTGTTTTTAGAAAGGGAAAGAAGAAGGTGCAAGCAAGGAGAAGAAGAATGATTCCATCACTCCCTCTCTTCTAGTTTGTGATTTATTTCTCTCTCTATGATTTGAATCTCTAATGGTGTTTAGGGAAGATGACCCTGGTTTATAGGTTATGTATGTATGGGATTTGAATGAATATGTTTGTCTATTTGATTTTATTGCTTCATCTAGCTTTAATTGTGTTTGGGTAAGTCGCCATAATTTTCTCTACTAGCCTACTTACGCTTCTACGCTGGGTATGGAGTTTTAGGGTTAGACGGGTATGCGCCATCTGGCAAATTAGGAATAGATGAATGAATAGGGTCTTGTGATGGACGAGGCGACCGAACCCCTGCCACAAGAACGCCTTCATAGATGGAATCCGGGATGAAACCTTGGTGTGGACAGTGGGTAGTACTCATTGAAAAGAGCTAGGTTCTTAAAGCCCTAGATACGTAAGCCTATACCGAGATGAAAATAGGGTAGGTAGGGTGTACTCAGAGGTGTGTGGATAATCACGAAGACCCATGGAAAAGAGTTCACTCACTATATTGTCTTAACCCTACATGACAACCATAGCTAGGAGGATTTGATCCTAGGCAGCTATTTCATCTCTAGCGATCTCTCAACCACTTTGTTGGTTGTTTAGGAGTAGGTTAGGTTATATTATTCACCAAACTTTTGATCGATTAGATAGTAGTTTAGAGAGAAGTAATAGTAAGCTAAGGGTTCCTTTGGAATACAACCAATCCACTTTACTACAATTCTAGCTAGGTTATGCTTGATTTAGTTAGGATTTAATAGAGAGTGTGTATCGACTTATAAATTTAAAACTTGATCATGCAAGCGATCAGTTCACTAGGTCAAATTATACTTCATGGAAGAAATATATAAAACGTTTTTGTGGGGAATCAACGAAGAACTATGGGGAGTTATTAGATACAGACCAGTAGAGATGAATGTACAACAACTTAATTATCAAGTAATGCATATTCTTCAAACAAAGATGTCTGTTGGGTCTAGTATTAAACCGCCTAATACGGGCCCAAACCCACCATAAAGCGTCTCACGTTGGGCCCAAGCCCATTCTAGGATCCAGTACACCGGGAGGCGTCCAGCCTACCCGGGGGCGTCCATTCACCGGAAGACGTCCATCGACGGGAGGCGTCCAGTCTACCAGGGGCATCCATGACAATGGGAGGCGTCCACAGGAGTCCTCCGACTCCTATATAAGGAGGCCAGACCCTCCAACCAGAGGGACTTCTCTCCCTTCCCTCATTCTACCACTTATGGTTCTCTCTCTAAACCCTATCTCTCTCTACATTCCTCTACACTCTATCATATATCCTATTCTAACTTGACCGTCGGAGTGTAGATCACGAGGGCTGCCCCCGATTCTCCACAGGATTCTTCCACTCCCAAGGAGATCAGACGAGGGAGTCCGGATCAAGGTTCCACACAAATCCCCCGATACTAATCGGGGTCAAAAAATTTGGCGCCCATCGTGGGGCCTGATTTGGTACTCTTCTCGTTTGGTATCTGAAGGAGGAGAGGAAATCAATTCTTTCTCCACTAATTACCACCGACGGCTCCGACCGCAAAATCCCATCAGAGGATTGAAAGAAATCAGTCTCACTTCACCAACTACATGCGAGGGCTGCGCCTAGAAGATTCTGGCCAGATCTGCCAATGTTCAAAGCAATAACAAAAAAAAAAAAATCGGACTCTGATAACCGGAGTTGCCAGCACCGCCGGCGCTCCTGCCGGAAAAAAAGAGGCCTGCCGCAGTCAACATCATCATCGTTTCTCCAACCTCTAAGAAAAAAAACAGATCTGCTTTCTGCGGTACACAGCTCCACAAATCAAGAAAGTGGAAAAAGCTACCTCAACGTCACCCACTCTCTCTATCAGACGTGACAACACACTTACCAAGGCCGAGGGTGGGAATATCGATGCGTTGGCTCTGAGCAAAGACTAGCATGGATATGTTTCCATCCCGCGATGCAGACAGCCTTGGAAGTGATCCGAACATGGATGAGAAATGCACAGAGCGTAGCCCACATTGGCCCGCATTGCATTTTGAGCCCGAAGTCAAGTCCAATGCATTTCACCAGAGTATGTTGGCCGAATGGGGACTACAATAAGCCCACTCACCCCAAGGCTGCCCATGGGCTCAGTCTCCTGTAATCAGCCCACCTCCGACCGTCTCCAACTCGCGGCCCGCACCGCATCCGGTCCGCCACCTTCAATCAACGCAAAGCCCCAAACATCACTCCGTGTCCAATTCTGCATGCGGGTTAGCTTCCAAACCCTCAAACGAATCCCAACGTTGACGGACGGTCCAACCAAATGAGTCTCCATTTGCCCAAGCTGAAGTGCATACCACTACGCTACAAGACCGCTTTATGAATCCGAATGCGACTCTAAGAACTTAGACCATTCTGCAGCTACCTCCTACAAGAAAAATGCATCCCACCCCTGAGTGATGCTTTCACAGTGGTTAAAGTCCAATTCCGCTTCCCCGTAAGCGCGACATCGGTACAGCTAGAAACACGATCCTGCCTCCAATAGCGGTGACATCGCCAAGACACAAACGACGTCTTGAGTCACAACCCTCAAGTCGTGGGGGGGGGGGGGCACCTTCCCTAACACATAGCTAATGCCTAATATTCAGCCAACAACTCACGCTTAACATGCACAGAAGCTCATGCCCATCTCGCGGTCCAACAGCTTAACGCATACAGCTCACAGTTATGGCCTACATATTAGCACGCTCAGCAATGGGCTAGTGGGGAAATCTCAAACGACCTGAGAGCTCTAACTCAAGACATCGAATGCTAAACAAAGAAGCAAAGACGATGGTCGCACAAGGGGCAAACCACATTGTTTTGACTCGCAAGGGTCCAGTCCACTCGGGGGCGTCCATCACCGGGAGACATCCTGTCACCCGGAGGCATCCATCACCAGGGGCATCCATCACCGAGCAATGCCCGCACCAGGGGCAAAACCGCATCGTGCGGAATCGCAAGTAAGGCAAGTTAATACACCTTAACGCATTATTTTACTCCTTCCATTCTTACAGAATACAAGAAGCAAAGGGGCAAATGTTGGGTCTAGTATTAACCCGCCTAATACGGGCCCAAGCCCACCACAAAGCGTCTCACCTTGGGCCCAAGCCCATTCTAGGGTCCAGTAAACCGAGAGGTGTCCATTCCAGCCGGGGGGCGTCCATCGACGGGAGGCGTCCAGTCTACCGGGGGCGTCCACAGGATGCCTCCGACTCCTATATAAGGAGGCCAGACCCTCCAAGCAGAGGGACTTCTCTCCCTTCCCTCATTCTACCACTTATGGTTCTCTCTCTAAACCCTATCTCTCTCTACATTCTCTACACTCTATCATATACCTTATTCTAACTTGACCGTCAGAGTGTAGATCACGGGGGCCGCCCCTGACTCTCCACGGGATTTTTCCACTCCCGAGGAGGTCAGACGATGGAGTCCGGATCAAGGTTCCACACTAATCTACCGTCACTAATCCGGGTCGACAATGTCCTTTAATGAAGTCGACAGAGTCAAGCAATGTGAAACTCCACAGAGATCTAGATAACCTTGAAAAATATCTATGAAGGTACTTCAAACATCAATGAAACTCGAATCAATCTTCTTATGCAAGACGACGAGGCCTCTGACATACAACCTGGGGAGGGTATTCCCAAATGCATTTTAGATTTATTATTTTCAAGGATCTTGGATAAACATTTTCTTGTAAACATCTTGTTAGCAATGCAGTCAAAATCGCGCTTCAAAACTTAAAAGCTTACTCTTTTACCTTTTTGGATCACCAAAATGCTTCTACGTAGAATCATGATTTTCCCTTACAAATGTAGTCAAAATCTACGTTTTAAAACTTAAGAGCTTACAGTTTTACGCTTTTAGGTCACCCAACCGCTTCTAAGTAGATTCGCGCTTTTCACTGCATTGCTTGTTAGCAAATTTTTGCAATATCTCCGTAAGAAGTGGTTGCCTAAACGAACAATTATAAAAGAGGGCAGGGAACTCAAGGTTCTTTCTATTGATGATTTAATTGCGTCTTTGTTGAGTCATGAACATATTATTAGGCAAGTTGAAAATAAAGATGATGAAAAATGAACAAAAACTCTTGCTTTAAATCTCGTGCTTATGAATATGATTTTGATAACGATGTTGGCCGAGAATTTGAAAAGAAATTCGCTATGGTTTGTAAGAAATTTCATCGAATGATGAAATATAAGAATG